AAACCCCAAATCCCTAGTGATGAAGCTTTGTAATCGAGCCATATCTCGGATCTAGCCTCTCTTGAGCTCCGGGAGCTCAAGAAGTCCACCTTTTGATAGCAATGGTCTTGTTTTAGTCAAATAACCCCCATAATAGCCAAGTTTGAGTGTTATTGCTTCATTGCATCATAGATACACGTAAAGTTAGCAACTTTACGTGTTCAGTTAGTCCCAGAAACCCAAATCTATGTATTGGATGCACTAAAGCTGATTAGAATCGACTGAATAGAAACTGCATGCCAAGGACTCGATGAGTCGTTCTTCTAACTCGGCAAGTCAGGTAGCGAGTCTTAGATTCCCGGTTCAGTAGTAGCGAGTCTGTTTAGTGATTGGAGTGAGGACTCAGTGAGTTAAGTCATGGATCTGAGTGTAGAGCGACTCAGTGAGTCTACGCCCTGACTCGGCGAGTCCAAGGCAATCTCCTTACCCATAAGAACAGACTCGACGAGTTGTTCATACAACTCGGTGAGTCACGGAATGGACGTGTTCTTATGTTGAAGGTGAACTCGACGAGTTGATCATACAACTCGGCGAGTCGGATGAAGGTTGGCACAATGTCAATAAGGAAGGGGAACTCGTCGAGTTGTGGCTAAACTCGGCGAGTAGAGTCGGGTAAGGAAACAAAAGGAAAGATAAGGACTCGACGAGTTGACGGCCCAACTCGGCGAGTCAAGTCAACAAGTTGTTGACTTTGACCAGGGGTAAAATAGTTATTTTACCTAAGATTAGTTATCATTGTTTGATTAAGTGTCTTTTGGGAATTGTAGCTAGGGAGTTACTAGAGCAGCAGTCAGACAATACTGATCAACTTTTCAGCAGACAACCTTACGAGGTGAATTTTCCTTCCAGTAGGAACGGGTCTACGACCACAATGACGACCCGTTTAGTTAGCAGTAGTTCCAAACTACGATCTGATGCAGTAGTTCAGTATGCTTGATGTCTTTGTGATACAACCATGTTATGTGTTATGTGTTCCGAACTATGGTCCGATACAATATGCAGTATATATGCTTATGTTACATGTTATGCTTATGTTATGCTATTATCAGTCAGTTCCGGACTTCGGTCTGATGTAGTGGGCGAGGCTCTAGTCAGTTCCGGACTTCGGTCCGATGCAGTGGGTAAGGCCCTAGTCAGTTTCGGACTCCGGTCTGATGCGGTTCCGGATTTTGGTCCGATGCAGTGGGCAAGACCCTAGTCAGTTCCGGACTTTATTCTGATGCAGTGGGCAAGGCCCAATATGTGCCTATTATATTATTGTATGGTATGGGGTAGTTTGGGGGAGCTCATTAAGATTCGTGCTTACAATTTCAGTTTTGGTTTCAGGTACTTTAGCTAGCAAAGGGAAGGGCTCGGGATGATGGCATGGCACACACACAGTTTAGCATGGGAGTTAGACTCTGATATTTTGATATGACCTTGATACTACTTTTGATTTGATAAATTTATTATGACATTTTGAGATATGCGATTCAAGGTTTTTATCTTTTGATATTTGATATTATGGTTTAGTAACGTTTTTAAACAAAATTTTTTAGGTTGTATTTTTGAGATGTTACACATCACACTGGGCTCTTGCCCTTAGATCTCGAAGTACCTGAAACAACCAACAAACTGTAAGCTAACGCTTAGTGAGTTCCCCATAACATACCCCACATAATCCACATAATCACATAAACCATATCAGTAATATAAGCTACATAAGTCATGCATACAAACATACAAGGATGCCCTAGAAACCCTCCAAAGTCTTACTCCGGGTGCCATGGGAACCCCCACATGGTCTTAGCCCACTACTGTTGGAACCCCCACATGGCCTTAACTACGGATGCCATGGAAACCCTCCAAGGTCTTACACCGGGTGCCATGGGAACCCTCATATGGTCTTAGCCTGGAATGACATGGGAACCCACACATGGTCTTATATCCAATTGCCTTAGGAACCCCCCTTGCGGTATTCCATGCAAGTATCACAAAGACAACTAGCATAACACATGCCATATAATCAACTAGCATGCCACATAACATATAATGGGCTGGCCTTGATGCCTTCGACCCATTGGTATGGTGAGGAGACTCACCTTAAATGCGAACTGTAGCTAAGTAGGTCCAAACTCCGAGTATCAGCTCTACCACCTCCCTAATCATAAACAACTCCTTAGACACAACTCAACCCTTCAAACCCTTAAAAGTTATCCCTGGTCAAGGTCAAAGTTAAAGTTAAAGTCAAAGTCAACACTCCGAGTTGACCTAACTCGTCGAGTTACCCCTGTAACTCATTGAGTCCATCCCAAAGCCAAAATCACGATATTGCGATCCAACTCGTCGAGTTTTCCCACAACTCGTCGAGTTCCTCCAGTTTCCAACCTAATCGAGGTAACCCCAACCTAACTCATCGAGTTCCCTTGTGAACTTGTCGAGTTCTTCAGCCTGTCAACTCATTTAATGCATTAAGCCCTTTTTCTCGAATCCAAAGTTTCCAAACTTCAGATCCTCTTTCATAGAGATGTCCAGAAGGGTAAAGTTTCCAGCTGTACCCGTAAGATTCACCTAATAAGCTCTAAACCCAAACCTTAGTTCCTTTAAGGAAGGTCTTGACTCATTAAGCCCTTGAACCCTTACTACAACGTTCCAAATTACAGATCTGGTATCCAAGGGTGGACAAAGCATGCAAAGTTTCTAACTTTACATCCATGCATGGTTGAAACACTCTCCAAGGTCCATTTTAGGCTTAAAAATGAACATGTTGCATGAATGGGACATGGAGGTTATTAAAGTTTGCAACTTTATTCTTGTAGAGGTCATGTAGAGGCCAGATCTACACCCTCAACCCCTGAAAACCTCTTTTCTTTGGGCAACTCAAGTCAAAGTCCCAAAACCAAGCCAAAACTACAAGGGATGGGATCTAATAAGCTACACGTCAAGGTCATGACTTTACACCTTAAAGATGTAGCCTTTGATGTAGAGTTTCTAGATCCAAGTTCACTCTTCCAAGCTTGATACTTCTCTCTTTAAAACCTCCTTCAAAGATTTCAAACAATCACTCTAAAACTCACAACACTCAATGAACAAGTAGAAAAATGGTCCAGGGTTTCTTCTGGACAAGAGAAGTTGGTAAGGAGGCCAACCCTTGAAGTTAAGTCCTTTAAATATGGTACAATGCCCGAAAAATTAGGGTTTTCCCTTCCAGCACCAACTCGTCGAGTTGAGGGTCCCCAACTCGTCTAGTAGGTCCTCCAATGTACTCGGCTGAAAAGTTTTCTACTCGACGAATTGGAGCCTCCCAACTCGTCGAGTTCCTTCCAATGCTTAAGAAAATAACTAGAATTAATTCATACCTGGACCAAGCGTTACACACTTTTTGCGATACACAGAGTCGTGTTGATTTTATCGTGAAACTTTGAAGAAACATAACTTCTTCATACGAAGTCAGATTTAAGCATTCTATATATCTATGCAAATCATATCGATATTTTCTACATGTTTATGATGTTTATCTTGGCTCAAAAGTAATATACACCTACTTCGTATTTTATAATAATTGCTTAATATAACAATTTATGAAAGTAGTAAAAATGGGGTGTTATAGTTAGACCAAAGTCCAAAATCACAGTTTGAGAAATTTATTGAGAAGTTTAGTTGGTGATAGTTGGAAACAATAGGATCTTACTGTTGCACAAGAAGAATTTTCTTATAACCAGTCAAAAAATCTCATTTGTGATTGTGTACAATAGAAGTCGAATTACACCATTTCCTACAGATTACTTATGGAAATGAACTTAGTAATCCATAGGAAATGGTTTCACTTTTACCAAGAATTTCGACAGACTATATATATATATATATATATATATATATATATATATATATATAATATTCAATCATTTTTCCTAGCAAACTAGAGATGTAATACGGAGAATTCAATTCCTTCACTATTCCACTTGTAAATTAAGGTAAGGTTTTTATTGTTCCATCGATAATATTTGACAGATATTTTCCATATGTTAAATCTGCCTTTTTTATAAGATATATGTGAAGTTTCATATTAACTTTAAAAAGAGTTATTATGGAAAGATATGAGACTCCTAGGATACATTAATATTTCCCTTAGAGACGGTTACTCGATGAGGTCAGAGAAGGTTGTGTTATAAGCCACGGGGATGGAAACATGGGCTATGATACCACTTAAGATATATGTAGATTCTAATTTTAATCCTAAAAAAACTGTTAATTATGGAGAGATGAAAACTCCAACATATATAAAAACATAAGGGAATCCGTTATACCGATGTTTGATACACTAACATTTTCTAGTAATTATATTTTTAAGTGTATAACAATGGTATACATAAAGTATATACAATTTTATATTTTTCATATTACTCTCCAAAAACCATTAATTATGAAGAGATGAAAACTCCACAGTTTTATATTTTTCATACACTAACATTTTCTAGTTATCATATTTTTAAGTGTATAAAAATGGTATACATAAAGATTATACAATTTTATAACGTTAAAAGAAAGAAATTTATCATGCGTAAGTTCTCCCTATCATATTTTTACAAGCTTTAGGTTTATGAATCTATCAAAAAGTTGATGTATAATTAGCATATTTGTTATTATGGCTATAAGAAAAATGAAAACAAAATCAGTTAAGAAGTACAATTTGGTCATTTGCAAACTTATCCTTCTCGAAATTCCTCCATCCCTTGTGCATGTGGAAAGTAATGAACCAAAGTATGAATAAACTTTGAGTTCATCACTCCTTTTACAACACAAAGAATCCACCTTTACTGTCCCTCATTTTAGAGAGAGAGAGAGAGAGAGAGAGAGAGAGAGAGAGAGAGAGAGAGAGAGAGAGAGAGAGAGAGAGAGAGAGAGAGATACAAAAGCCAAGGATTTACATGAATATGAGAGAGAGAGAGAGAGAGAGAGAGAGGAGGGGGGGGGGGGGGGGGCTAGTATATATGTAAGAGAGAGAAGGGGAGAGAGACAAAGAGTTGGCAATAAAAAGCATTACATATCAAGAAAACTGAAACATGTCAAGGTTTAGTAACACTGTAATAGGTCTTTTGAACCTATTCACACTCTTAGCTTCAATACCGATCATAGGTGGCGCCTTATGGCTAGCAAGAAGCAGCGCCACCTGCGAAAGCTTCCTCCAAACACCACTTCTGGTCATCGGATTTATAGTCTTGATTGTATCTTTGACCGGTTTCATAGGTGCATGCTTTCACCTGGCCTGGGCACTTTGGGTCTACCTGGTGGTGATGCTGCTCCTGATCGCAGCGTTGCTGGCCTTCACCATCTTTGGGTTCATCGTGACAGGAGCAGGTGGTGGAATGAATGTTTCCGGCAGAGCATACAACGAGTATCACTTGGAGGATTATTCGCCATGGCTTAGGAAAAGAGTTGAGGATCCAAAGTATTGGATGACAATCAGAAGTTGTATTTTGGGGTCAAAGACTTGTAGGGATATTGTCATGTGGTCTCCTGTTGATTATTTGACTAAGGATATGTCTCCTATTCAGGTACTCTCTATTTCTATCGGATTTCTTTTAGTTTATTGTTATATAGTTACAGTGTTCAATCTTTGACCCATTAAGTTTAAGAAATTAAGCTTACCTTCTATGTATATTCAAATGAAGAAAATTCTCGTTTTTAAAAGTTACCAACATCAAGGATCAAAGATGAGACATCATGTTGTCTACATGGTAGGTGCTCCTATTGATGGATCCATATATACATATATACATATAGATCAAGTTAATTTAAGACAAACATATATGTGATGAGTATTTTGACATATATAGATTGTGTTAATATCAATGGTATCTACCATACTCATAATTCAAGTAAAATAATTTTAATTAAAACGGAACGGAATATAATATTGTTGATATAGTTTTGAGTATACAAATATATGGCTGAATATATTTGCTAAACTATACAATTGATAAAAAAATGTTATTGAAATTAAATAACATTTTTAAAAAAATGCTATTGAAGCATCAATACTTTCCTTACAAAAGAATTAGAATAACTTTTAAATTATGTTTCAAGATATGTACTTCGAATCTAATAACTATTTGAAGTTATTAATATATTAAAAAAATTAATCATGTAAAGCCATAATATATATCATCCTTCTTTAAAAACATACATATAAGAAATGATTAACTACATCATCTGAACAGACCACATCGTCTTTCCCTTGAGAGTCAATCACAGAGTGCTAACAATATTTGTGCGTTCCACGGCTTAACTCTAGACAGTCCGTATGAAATTTTGCAGCTCAACCACTAGGCTTCAATCTTAGAGTACTAACAACATGCGTGCGTTCCACAGTTTAACTCTAGACAGTCCGTATGGAATTTTGCAGCTCAACCACTAGACTTCAATCTGAGAGTACTAACAATATTTGTGCGTTCCATGGTTTAACTCTAGACAGTTCGTATGAAATTTTGCAGCTTAACCACTAGGCTTCGATCTAGGTCCAAACAAACAAGTAATATTAAATAAGTTTAGAACTATATACAAACATTTGATAATTATTTATATAAATTGTGTTTGATGGCATACTTATGCAGTCAGGTTGTTGCAAGCCACCAAGTGAATGCAACTATGGGATGACGATGATGACACAAGAATTAGATTGCTACAAATGGAGCAATGATCCGACCACATTATGCTACGAGTGTGATTCATGCAAAGCTGGGGTTTTAGAGAATGTGAGGAGAGATTGGCGTAAGCTCTCAGTTCTCAATGTCATCATGACACTGCTTTTGATCGGTATATATTGCATCGGTTGTTGTGCATTTAGGAATACAAGGAGGTCGGAGACAGATTACCCATATGGTGAAAACCAAATGTCCAAGATCCGACCCAGATGGGATTTCTTTTGGTATGCTTCTCACCACTGAAATCGAATGTACTTTTTTTGTCGTTTGAAAGGATGAAAGAGCAATTTTACAAGAGGGTATATCTGTGTTTTGAAAAGACATTAAAAATGAAAAGGGTAGATATAAGACATGTGTTTACAAAGATTACATATTTTCTTTACTTCGAAGAAATAACTTTGTTGTTGTGACTTTTTGCAGGTGGAGATGGTGGCATGACAGAAGACACCAGCTTTATTGAAAAGTAAATTTCAACAATCTTTTGTATTTTCGTAATTAAGCTCGACAGTTAATCTTGTTATAGAAGGTGAAGTACGAAGATGAGTAAGAATACTACTCTGTTTTAGGGTTGAATGTAATTTTGCATTTTGTGACATCTGTAATTATAGATTAAATATTTTCCCTTTATGAAAAACTTACTTTAACTTTTCTCTTCTAGCAAATCTCAATGTTTAGTTAATTTCATACGTCAATGTGTGAATTTGTAGCACAATATCAAATACAAGTGGACGGAATAGTGTTCACTTATTGTTACTCAATTGGGGTCATAAAGCGGTAGTTGTCACGTGAGTTAACTATGCGTTGTTAATGATGTTTTTATTTAATGCTTGATTTGTGCATGTTTAGTGGTGATTTATTTATTTATTTATTTATTTAACTGTGTTGTTCATGTTTATCATTAATTGTTGGACATGATAACTTTTTATAAGCAATTATCGTGTTAACTTTTCGCTGTATCTACACATGATTTCCTTGGATTCTTTGTGGCTGTTTAGTTTGCTGATTTTATAGCTCTCTTTGATCTTCGTTTTTAATGTTGTAGATTCTCTGTTTCTTGTTGAATGGAGTAAAAGCTTTGTGGAATCAAAGTATATCCAATTCACAAAGGGATTGAAATATTACCAATCAAATCAAAGTTGGAAAAATCTAAAATGACATAAAATCAATTTTGATCAGGAAAACACATCCTCCATCCTGATCTGCTGCAGCTATGTTCCTCTCTGGCCAGCATCGCAGTTGTCTCCACCTCCGGCTGCTGTGACACAGTGCCTCCGACTCCGACTACGACTACTTTGCCTCCGATATCTTCTGCAGGTAACGCTTTCGGTCTTCCTCCTTTCTCTTGCTATGTAATCGATTAGTGCTTGAAATTCCCAGATTTTATTTGCCCTAAATTCAGCGACTTCATAGAATCTTTTTTTTTTTTGAAATCAGAGCTGAAATCATCTATGTTGTATGGTTTTCTACAAATGCTGAAATTGGGTGATTTTTTTTTTTTTTTTTGAAAACAAACCTTCATTATCTTAAATTAGAGTATTATTTTTCTGAAATCAAATTATAGTTTGAGTATAGTTTGATGCTGAAATTTGATGTTATGCTGTTTGAAATGCTTAAACCAGATATGCTTTGGTTTTTGCTTGAATTATTTTCTACGAAAATCTGAGAGGTTTTTTTATCTGCGTGAATTCTTTTCTATGAAAATCTGATATGGTATATGATGATAAATCTTGAAAATCTAATCTGATTTATTGAAAATATGTAATTTGTTTTGCTTAAATGTTATTGAAACTAGATGTGAGATTCATGTATTATATAAGTTTATTTAAAAAAAAAAAAAACTAAGTATAAAATTCTAAGCATTTGAAAAGTATAAATTTATTAAAAAAAAATGAGAAAATATTGAATTATAAAAATTAAAGTGTTTTCTTTTTTTAAGTTTAAACAAAAAATTTAGATAAATAAATAAAGAAAATTAATTAATCTTTAATTTTGTAATTTTGAAATTAGAACGAAAATTCATTAATAGATTGATATGCATTTATTATTGAATATAAATACTATTACAATTAAACAAAATGAAAAAAAAACCATAAAATGACATGTGTAATAAAAATTAATTTAATATAACCATAAAATTACATGTGAAAAAATAAATGAAAATGTAACATGTAACAAAAAAGATTTTTATTTATTAGGGAAAATATTGAAGTGATCAAAGACATGAGAGGAGGATGTTATCTTTGTAGAGAAAACTTCAACTTTTCAAGTAATCATATCCTTCTTTTCTAATGTTTTTAATCAATTCAATAACATTGCAACATTTAAACAAAACAAATACATATTTTCAATAAATCAAATAAAAAATTCAAGATTTATCATCGTATACCATATTTGATTTTCATAGAAAAGAATTCAAGCAAAAAAAACAAAATCATATATTTTCAACATTTCAAGCATTTCAAACATCATAACATTAGATTTCAGATTTCCGCATCAAACTACACTCAAACTATAATCTGATTTTAGAAAAATAATACTTTAATTTCAGAGAAAAAAAGGTTTGATTTCAATAAAAAATAAGATATAATTTTAGCATTTGCAGAAAACCATACAGCACATGTGATTTCAATTCTAAAAAAAAACGATTATGTGAATTAGGTAAAACAACAAACTGGAAATTTCAAGCACTAATCGATTACATGAAAATGAAGACCGAATACATTACATGCACAAAATGTTAGAGGTAAAGTCGTCCAAGTCGAAGGCGCTGTGTTGCAGCAGCCGGAGGCGGAGACAAGGCCGGCGACGACAATGGCAGAGAGGAACATATTTTATAAAAAGCTTTTATCAATTAAGATGTATTTTATAAGAGACTACCAAACAAGCTAACAGGTAGAGCTGGTAAAAATCGATAAAACCCACTAATCAAACCTGAACCTAACCCAAAATTAGCGGGTCGGGTTGAGCTTTGCAACACATTTAAGTTAAATGGGTTAACCTGTTTAACCCATTTAATTAAATAGATTGGGTTGAGAAAAAATTATAAATTTTTTTTAACGTGTCAACTCATTTAACTTTAATATATATTTAATTAAACAATTATTTGAATATTATCATGAATTAATGAAAGTATTAATTTATAAATTATAATGTTGTACTATCATTTGTCTTTAAAAAAATTCAATAATAATTGTCATTCTTTTTCTTAGCACTGACAATACTAGTTACTCTCCAAAATAATTTTGAAATTAAATATTTTTAATGTGATTTGGACAATTTATATGTATTTTTGAATTAGGATTGTACTTTTGTCATACTTTGAAACTTTATTTACGTTTGAAACTAATTTAAATGATATAATCTTTAGTTAATTTATTTTTAAATGAGTTAACCTAAGTTTAACCAATTTATGTAGTAGGTTGGGTCGGGAACTACATAAACATGTTAACCTAGTGACAACCAATTTATCTAAAAGGTTGGATTGAGTTGGAAATATCAACCCATTTAAATAAACATGTTGGGTTGGGTTGAGAACTTTCAACCCAATTAATAAATGGGTTGAATCAGAACCCAATCCAGATCGATCCATTATCAGCTCTACTAACAAGTTAGCTCTTAATTTTTCAATAGTAGTTCGTTTGGAAAAATGGAAGAAAATAGGATGATATTATTGAAATAGATTTATTTTATTTAGTTAAATTAACAAAATAAGATTTATATCATTAGCACCTATCGCCGATGTGCATAATTTCTTTTTTTTGTATATAGATGTTATCTTTGTACCTCATGGTATAAACACTTTAGGACCCGGATGTTATCTTTGTAATAACAATGGACTTTTGTTTCTTTGTAATTTCACATTTTCATGTGTAGATAAGTTTTGTTATCCTTCTTAATCATTGTAATCTCTTTACTTTTTCTAGAATCAACCCGATTCTTGAATATAAAATGGTAATTTGATCCAAGCTATAAAAAAATGTTCAAAGTGATAAAACCTTCACATCTATTTTGCCAATTGCATTTATGACATAACTAGCAAAACATCTCATAACCACTTTGTACTGTGTTTGACATGCAATTGACTCCAACTAAAACTAATGTGAATGAGAGAAAACATTTTACTTTTCATCCCACCCAAAAAAACAAAAGAATCATAATGATCTAAGGCCTAATATACTTGCATATTGAGAAATTTCCCATTTTTTTTTTTTTCATCTTTAAACTTTTTCACTTCCATCTCTTTTGGGCTCTGTTATCCTTCCTTTAGCTGCAAATCTGTCAGATGCCAATCTTTCTTCCAATGCTCTTGCACCCCTTTCCCTGGAATTGGAATTGCAATAAGAGGGAATTGGAATTCAAAGAAGTTGAAGGTAGGAAACTGTTTTTTTTTTCTTTTTAATAATAATAATAATAATAATAATAATAATAATAATACCTTCTCCTAGATGCCTCAATGGAGTCAGAACCAGGTAATGCAGCACTACCTACAGTATACCCCCTTGTCTCAATGGAGCTTTCAGACCTTCCACACATCATTTGATGAAAAACTGAAGCAATGGGATCAATCAAAGGTCTGCAAATCAACAAGTTAAATTACATGAATGCCCTTCAAAATTGAAATCATATAAGGGTACTGTAGAATGTAGATCTTCATTAGAATACCTTAAAAATTCAGGAAATAAAGTAGAAAAAGCAAATTCATCACTAGGGTCACCCTTGATTTTAGTTTCTTGTTTTCTTTGAAAGTATCTGAGGTAGATCCAACCAATATACGTGCCAAATATCAAGATTGGAAAACATGTTTCTGCTGGCTCTTCTGTAAAGAAGCTCATAACAATGGACACAAATAACACCAAAGATGGCAACCACTGCATAATCCATAAACATAATCAAATATAGAAGAAAATTTATTTGGTATAAATTGAATACTTTCATATGTTTCATACCTTTGCTTTAATTCTCAATGGAGAGAATTCTTGGTCAGGAACTATCTGTTTGACACCAACAAACAGACCTGAAAGGGCCCCACCAAATCCAGAAATAGGCATGTAACTACAATAGATTAGAATTGTTAGATGTTGATATCTGTTCATGCAATTATAAGATAAATTTCTTCCATTGTTATTAACTTACAGATAATTTTCTTCCATTGTTATGTAATACAAGGAGATCGCCATGATGAATAGACACAGAGAAGTCAAGAGATTGACAACAAAGATGAATATCAAGAACTCTCTAGAACCCCAGATGGGTTCAAGGAGCTTTCCAATGAAAAGAAGACCCATTGTGCTAATAAGAATCTGGAAAACGAATGTAATGGATCAGTCTGTATACATTGTCCATATATGATTCGTTTTTCTCCTTCAAATGTATGAAAACTACAAACATAAACCCTAAAAAGGTTCGTACAATCGTACCCCATGTATGCTTTGTTCAATATACCCAGCTGTTAACAGATTCCAACCGAAAGGAATTGTCCTGTGATGCAAATTATGAAAATGAATTTAAAATTACGAAAACATCAAAACGAAACAGTGTGTTGTGGTGGAAGGAAGTTAATCGATACCTGGCAGGAATGAGTGCAACATAGGTAAGGGATGTAGGGAAGATCTGAACAGAAATGTGTATACAAACAAGAACAAACACTAGGCCTTTACAAAGTTTTGTAAATCCTGCAAACATGTTCGGACCCTGATCCAATTACCATTATCAAAAATCAATCAAGAAATTACAGTTGTGTTTTTAATTCTTTGGAAGAAACTTGAACATGGTTACATTTAAATAGATCTGGATATGATATCGAACAAAAAAGAATGAACACGAATCAAAATTCTCAGCAAACAGGCGCTTACTGCCGAAGAACTCATGACAACAGGGCCGTAAATTGAGAATGTTGATATGATTTAGGGCTGAATTGCTCGATTTGTTATACTTCAATTCTGAGTAATTTGTGATAAAAGAAATTGAGATGTCTGCTGGATGACCGGAAAACAGGAGACGACCGGAGTACGGCGGAGGAGATCTCAGTCGACGGGCCTTCTTGTTTAAAGTTTTTACTGATTATTTGATTAAAGCTTTTTATTTTTAACTGTGAATATTACTAAATTTTATTATGTTTATAAATTAATATAATATATATTTCTCGTGATTTTTTTATAACTATCCGTATTATGTAAGATAATTTTTCAAACGATTTGTTGATGAACAGTATATACAAAAAAGAATATTACTATAAGTCATAATAAATAAACTATTAAATTTATTGAAAAAGTAATACTACACAATCAATTTATTGTTATTTATTTGATTTGATCATAAAACTATATATATATATATATATATATATATATATATATATATATATATATATATATATATATATATATATATATATATATATATAAATAATGTAATAATTCATTAAACATACAAATTACATGTCAATTAAATCATTTTCACTTATTTTTAATGGATTCCAAGCCTACATACCGTTACAAACTTACAATCCTACGTAGATAGTGACTTGTACTAACGATGGACATGTCATATTTTTTATTTTTATTTTTAGTTTTATTATTATTATTATTATTATTATTTTGAAAATGTCACCTTAGAAAAATCAGTTATTGTTATTTATCCAATTTGACCACTAAACTAGTCATGTGCACAATAATTCATTAAATTTATAGGTTGCTTGTCAATTAAGTAACTTTTGTTAAATTTTAAACAGATCCTCGGTTACCTAGTTTACGTTGAAGTGTGGCGAGCCGATGAAACTTATGTAGTGGCGAGCCATGCCATTAGTCATCCACTTTTTTTAATATACCTTTTTTATATACTTTTTTCTAATTAATTTATATTATTAAACAAATATACGGGTCACACATTCAACTCGTCTCTATATCTTTCTCACATATACAACCATACTCCAAAAATGTTTAATTTTTTTTTTTTTTTTTTTTTTTTTGGAAAAAACGAGTTTCACAAATCGGAACCTAGGTTCAATAATCGGATTAGGGCATGAACACCGGTGTGGTTGCGTTGAGCTGAATCAGGGCTTACACCTTTGACGTAGACGATGTCAAAGTTGAATCATCCTTATGGTTGTTGAATTAGAGTTGAAATCAATGCATATAAGGGTTTCCGTGAATGACGGTGGTGTGCTGCTAGAGAAGGGAGGAGAGAGAGACATCTCCGTTCGTATGCCACCGATTAGAAGAGAAGAATAGACGAAAAAACAATAAAGTGGTGTTGGTTCAGCTCCTATTGAAGGCCTAGTTTATGAGAAAGAGAAGAATGTTATGCCATGCTCTATTAATTTTATTAAAAAGTTAAAACATATAAGGAAAAAATCTCTTTGTAACACAATCAACTCTTATTATTTATCCCATTTGGTCACTAAACTATTTTTTTTCGCAATAGGTCACTAAAATTCATCGACACATCACATTTCCACATAGGCTCGGTAACTTGGATACGTTAAAAGATAACGAAAGTGACTTAATTGACATATAACTTATAAGTTTAATGATTTATTGCGCAATATATATATATATATATATATATATATATATATATATATATATATATATATATATATATATATATATATATATATTGATTCAATCGGGTAATAGACAATTGAAAATAGTTGATTGTGCTAGAATGATATTTTTTCTCAATTTAAATAATTTGATGCTATATAAACAAAAACGCTAATATTGTTAGTGATTTGTAAAAAACTATGTATATTATCTAAAAATGGAAGATTGATGGGACAATTTCTTGAAATTTGGAGGTTAGATCGATCTGATCCTCTTTTATCATTTTCTATAAAAATGCTCATTATGTCTAGCGGGCATTTGTTTTCTTTGTAACATATGTTTTAAGTTACACTTAGACTAATCATGTTTCATCATTTTGATTGGGTACAAATGATGGATATTAATCCGATTGACATTTGTATGTCAGGTTGGATGACACCATTAGGTAACATTATGCTTTTTGGTCTCCAAGTTGATGATGTTGAAGCTATTGATGAAGGTAGTTTCAATCTTTCTTTTCTTTTAATGAATATGTTACTTTTATACAATTCTAATACTTGAGTACTATTTGTTTATTTCTTTGTCAAAGTATGTTTAAATTGACAAGTATATGGATTGGAGAGGACATAGATAATGAGTTGGATAAATGGGGAAAAAGTAGTAGTAAATGTTTCAAATCCCGGAATAAGAGTGGATGATGTAGAGATCGAGGAGAATGAAGTTTATGCAATTGATATAGCCACAGGGCGGGCACAGTAGATGGCAAATTTTCTTTCTTTCTTTTTTTTATTTTATTTTTATTTTTATTGTTATTTTTATTTGCTTCCAGAGGAATTGGAATTCAATATTCCATTCCATACCATCTTTGGTTACCAATTGTCATGACCTTTTACATCCATACCCTATTCTTCATGAAAATCCTGGTAAATCAACTCATCAAACTTTACCCCATAAATAACCCAATTATAAGGGAATTTATGTATTTATTTTTTGAGAAAAGACTTCAATTTTTATCCATGGTGCAGTTATTTTGCAATGTGTATAAAATTAATGATTGTTTTGATTTCAAATGGATCTGATTGAATAACATATCATAAACTGTTAAGAGTTGTAACCAACTAAAACAGTTGATGACCCAGAAATCAAAGCATGGTTAGATTTATTTGTGAATACGAAAAATAAAAAGGTAACGTAAAAACAACTTGTTATATAAAGTTTGAAATTTGTTTTAAGCATTATTTATTAATTTTTTGTTTTGAATATTTTTTTTGTTTCAGGAAAGCAAGCGGAAACAGAGAAGGTGAGAAAAGATCCAATGGAGGAAAAAGCATCAAATGGTGGCCAAGAATGAAGATTTTGATATGTAATTTAATACTTGAAATACAACATTGGATTAGGAGGAATGTAAACTCAATATCTAAGCTATCAATTGCGCGCTATAGCGGTGCTATAGCGTTTTGCGGAGGTCAGGAACCGCTATTTTCAACTTAGCGTTTTCATTTCGCGGTACCACTATTAGTGACCGCTATAGCGGCGTTATGGGCGCTATTCCATTTTCGTTCACATTTAGGGTCATTTTGTTACTTTGTCAATGAAAAACTAGTTTTAATGATCTCAGTACACTTTCATTTTAAAATGCCCAAACAACTAACATAATTAAAAGCATTCAAAGCAACTACGTCTACCGACAACTCTCTTTCTCATCTTTTTTCTGTACTCACGACGACTTCAGCTGCTATGGTCGGACTCCATTAATGCTTTTTGTAAATCGAACCACACCCATGAGGCTACGACTTTGGAATTAACTCTTTATATCAACCATGTCCTACTAATATGATATTGAACACGGGCAATACAATTAATCTCTATTTGACACTTTGACACTACGTAGTTTCCCTATTACCATAATAGAATATTATGTTATGTTTTTATATGACTTTTTATGTTTATGATATTAATTCTATATAGACTTATAGTATTAATACTCAAATATATATAACTTCTATATAAATATAATATAAAATTATAAATTATACGTAATATTAAAAAAACGTTATATCACCGCTATACCACCGTGATAACCGCGATCTCAAATAGCGGCATGTGAGCGCTATTGAAATTTTGACCGCGATAACTGCATAGCTCAATATTGATTTGGAATAGACTTTTCAATAATAGTATCCACCAACTCAGAATATTACGTTGTTTATTTGCAACACTTTACACTGATTCTGGTATCATTTTTCTTGTGCAACTTATATTTAGTCTAACAAGTTTTAATTTTTCATGGTGTAATTTATTTCTATTTACAAAGTATCTTATAATTTATTAATTGTATATGTAACCCTTATATTATCTACAAAATGATATCCATTAGTATTTAAAAATAAATATGGTCCATTTTTTAAAAATATTATGGTTTTTTGTATAATTTACTGAAGATAATTGATTAATAATTATGAATTTTTACTATAAAAATTTATTTATTTTTATAACCGTAGTTCCCACGGGCTATAACCTTATATATATATAGTGACTCAATCGGGTAATAGACAATTAAAAATAGTTGATTGTGCTAGAATGATATTTATTCACAATTTAAATAATTTGATGCTATATAAACAAAAATGCTAATATTGTTAGTGATTTGTAAAAAACTATGTATATTATCTAAAAAAGGAAGGTCCAAAAAATGTGTCACCTCTCTCTCTCTCTCTCTCTCTCTCTCTCTCTCTCTCTCTCTCTCTCTCTCTCTCTCTCTCTCTCTCTATTTATTGGGTCAAAGAGCATATGTATTTGAAAAGCAAACATAAACACACATACACACACTACGACGGTGTTTGGTATCGTTTCTTTTAACTCTAAAAGTGATTTTAGGCAAAAATGTTTATTAACTTATGATTGTGACAAAAAGAGTTTTGGCTAGTTTTATGGTGACAAACGAAAATAAGATGAAAAAAAATTTGACTTAAAATCTCAGTTTTGAAGGTATTGTTGTTAAAAATAACTAAAAAGAATTTCTTAAAATAAAATTTACATGATTTTTAAGATCTTTTTTTTACCTAATAGAAAGACTATTTTGAAAAATGCTTTTTAGTTTGTGCAAGATTTATCCTTTTTACTTATTGACTTTTTAAAAATCCAATAAATTAATCTCAGACACTCCTTAAAGCATAAACTTAACGACAGTTAAGTCGGGGGATCAATTTTACGTACAAACTAGGCCAAAAGGACCATGAATCCAAAAAAGTCGAGGTTTGGATTGAAACCCCAAAAAAATGCATACCACACGGACCATTTTTGCAAATTTGTCTTCATTTTATTCTATTATAGCTTATAATATGTAAATAAGTAAATCCTAAATGTAATAATTATTTATTATTATATTATGTTATATATTAAATTGTTTTTAAATAATCCTCTCTAATAAATAAAGATTTTTTTTGTGCCACTTCTCACACTCTCATTCATTTTGTCACATGTCATTTTGTAGTTATTTTGAATTAATTTTTATTTCACATGTAATTTTGTGGTTTTCCTATTTTATTAAATCTCATATGGTATTTAAATTTAATAATAAATGCATATCAATTTCATTAATAGACTTTCCTTATTATTTCAAAATTACTAAAATAATGTTTCATTAATTTGCTTTGGTTATTTATCTAAATTATTTGTTTAAATTTAAAAGATAAAAAAACACTTTAATTTTAATAATTCAATATTGTTATCATTTTTCTTATAAATTTAAATTTCTCAAATGTTTATACATATTTAATTGTTTTAAATACGCTCATGTAATACATGAGGCTCACACCTAATCATAAATATAAAAAGATGTGTTTGAAATATAATTTTTTTTATTTATCAGATGTCATTTTAATAAAAATAACACCTAATTTGAATTAACAATATATATAAATAATTAATTTGGTTACAACCTAGTATTATATTTTATAGATTTTTTACACAAAAAGATGTAGATAAACAAATAAAAAGGTAATAAGTTGGAAACAACTTTTGACAATCTGTATAGGTTTAATAAAATATGCGAGTGAACATACTTTTAGGTGTAAAAATGGTGATTGAAATACTATTACATCATCTTTTTTACAATTTTTGTGTGAAAATTTGATATAGGATTGAAGATGCATGGCCTAATTAATGGAATTGAGAACCTTTATTTAAATCGAACTACGTAAATCAAATTCAAATCAATTTTACATTAACATGTGTGAGAGCTTCTTTCAAGAATTTGAAGCAGCCCATGGAGGCAATCGTTTCTAGTACAGTCTACACCACAGAAGTTCTTGGATTAATTTATTGCAATCACGAAGCTATTGACTTTCATACGTAACATGGTAGATGTTGAATTTATGAATCAATATGATGTATTTTCAACATTGGCGTGATACCTTTTTTTCAACTTGTTTACCAAGCTATACTTCAATTGACCAGATATTTAATATTTTACATATAATCTTCGCCCACATGCATCCAACAACAGCTCGTCAATGGATGATCATATCCATTCCATACTTCCATTCTTCTTCATTCCCTTCTTCTTTCTCCTCTCAAATTCTGCTGCACTGAACACCATATCAGTAAACGAATCCATAAAAGACGGGAACACAATCGTTTCAGATGGTGAGATGTTCGAACTCGGCTTTTTTAGCCCCAAAAACTCAAAGAATCGGTACCTGGGAATATGGTACAAGAAGATATCAAGTGGTACGGTTGTATGGGTCGCTAACAGGGAAACACCAATTACAGATAACTCCGGCGAATTCAAACTCAGAAGCTCCGGAGGTCCGGTGATTCACAGCGGCGGCACCACCGTGATCTGGTCATCCAATTACACGGTCTCCGCCACAAATCTTGATCCCGTTGCAAATCTTCTGGATACCGGAAATCTTATCGTGTTTGCCAATGGGAAGCTAATTTGGCAAAGCTTTGATTACCCTGGTGACACATTGCTTCCAGGAATGAAAATCGGGAAGGATTTGGTGACAGGATTAGAAAGATGCTTGACATCATGGAAAGGTCCGGAAGATCCTTCTCCGGGTCATTACGTATACTCACTGGACACAAATGGGTACCCACAAATGCTCCAGAAACACGGGTCAAGTTTACACTTTCGGATCGGACCATGGAACGGGGTTAGGTTTCACGGGTTACCAATTGAAGATCCGAATCAGTTTTACTCATCTGAGTTTGTTATTAGTGAGACAGAAATATATTACAAATTCAAACTTAAAAGCTCAGTTTTCGAGAGAATAGTTGTGATGTCGGATGGTAACACCGTGCAACTTCATTGGACAGATCGAATCCAAGATTGGGTGCATTTTGGAGATGCGGTTGTTGATGCTTGTGGTCGTTATGGAGTTTGTGGGCCTTATGGAGTTTGTAGAATGAAAGAGTATCCACCTTGTAGGTGTATGGAAGGTTTTGGGCCCACAGTCCAAGAAGATTGGAAGGCAGCTGATTGGTCCAGAGGGTGTCGACTTAAAAAGCCTTTGGATTGTGGGAGTGGGAAGAGTGATGATGGGTTTAAGAAAGTTGCAGGATTGAAATTTCCAGACACACGGGGTTCATGGTATAAAAGGAGTATGACACTCGAAGAATGTGAGATGGCTTGCAAAAGGGATTGTAATTGTACAGCTTATGCGAATCTAGATGTTAGAAATGGTGGAAGTGGGTGTTTGTTGTGGTTTGGTGATTTGATGGATATCAGAGAGTATGATGAAGATCATGATATCTACATAAAAATGGCTGCCTCTGAGTTAGCAGGTATGAATCTTAATTTCCTTGGAAAAATTCTAAATTTTAATTATGCATTTCTTTAGCTTTTAGAAATTAAGACCCTCTTTGGTATGTAGGATAGATGACATAAGAGATTGTATTCTGTTAAAGACTTAAGCATGTATTGGATCCGGATTGTGACTAATACTAGATTGATGTCATGACAAAATTTGCAATTTTTGTCATGACAAAATGATCTTTTTATCCTTATCATAAAAAATAGTGTTACAAAAATTTTCCACCTTATGAGACATTATTTCCAACCTTATTTACAGTATTGCAAATCTTACTGACTGTTATCTTTCTCTTATGAAAGGGTTCTTAAATTCGAGCACCAACAAGAAGAAAGGAGCACTCACCATTATCCTATCGATTTCTTCAGGTATGCTGCTTCTGTCTGCAGTAGTGTACACCTGTGCAACTAAAAAGAAAAGACATCACATGAAAAAACGAGGTAATGAAAATATGTTAATCTTTTTTCCTTCTATAAACTAAGCAACATGTAACTGCATAAAAGATCATGATTATTGGAAACTTATGTAACCATGAAACTCTTAACATGCAATTTTTTAGGAAACCGGGAGTATGATTCTGAAAAAAATAGTACCGATTTTAGCACGGAGGATCTTGACGAGTTACCGTTTTTTAGCCTAAATAGCATAGCCAAGGCAACTAATGGCTTTAGCATCAACAATAAGATTGGAGAAGGCGGTTTTGGTCCCGTGTACAAGGTAAACTTATTTTCCTATTTCTTTGAATTTCGCTTTTTATGTATGTTAAGTGGTTCTTTCTACATTAAGTCAAAAAGAAATAACATCTTACTTACTAATGCTTGTTAATCTCTTAGGGTGTGTTGGAAGATAGACAAGAAGTAGCAGTAAAACGACTCTCAAAAACATCCCATCAAGGAGTTGATGAGTTCAAGAATGAAGTCTTTTATATTGCAAAACTTCAACATCGGAATCTTGTGAAGCTTATTGGATATTGCATTCATGGAAATGAAATGATTTTGATTTATGAATACATGGTTAACGGAAGCTTGGACTCATTTCTGTTTGGTTTGACTCTCTCTGCATAAATAGTACTATTTTTAGTACCTTACTTTTATTATATATTACACATCATGAAGTTACACAGACGAATTTCTTACCAAATTTATACAAAATCTAAATATTTCACTTTGGGCAGATGAAACCAGAAGTTCAATGCTTGACTGGCCTCATCGCTTTGGGATTATCCATGGAATGGCTCGAGGTATTCTGTATTTACATCAAGATTCCCGCCTTCAAATCATTCATAGAGATCTCAAAGCAGGTAATATTTTACTGGATGAGGACATGAATCCAAAAATATCCGACTTTGGCCTTGCAAGAAAGTTTGTAGGATTTGATACCTCTGCCAAGACAAAGAAAGTGGTTGGAACATAGTAAGAATCTTTAAACTAATGGTCTATTACTCTATTAGTTTAAATCGAAGGATAATCACAAAAGAGAAATTAAATATCCTCCTATATTTATTCCTACTTATCCTTCTATCCATACGAAATAATGAAAAATGTCTTTAAATGTTATTAATTTTTTCAAAATGTAACGCTTAATTGTCACCAATTCACATGGTAGAAGGATAAGTAGGAAGAAAAGATAAGAGAATATTTCTCATCACAAAATTGGCCAAGATATGAAGTGAAACAAGTTGACCGCATTTGTTACCGATAGCACAAAATAATGGCAAGTTTTGCAATTAGTTTGTAGCGAAATTCAAAAAACAAATGGGAAATTACTAATAAACTAATATATATTCATTTCCTCTTGTTCCTTTTTCTGGCAAACTCCCAATTCCAAACGTTAAATGTGACTTGAGAATTGACAATCCGAATGAGTATCGACCTACCCAAGCAAAGAAACCCAACATCTGACATCGATGGGATAAGTGTTTGGAGTTGGCTGCCCCCTGCGATACGGACCTACGTTGATATGTGTAGCTTGGTCTGACCTATGCTAGTTAGGACTACATTTTGTACTTTGTTTATATAATACAACTGATACCCAGGGTTTAAATTGTACTATCAGTTTTCAAGGTTATAAATAAAATACTACCTCTTGCACTGTGGATGTAGGTCATATCGACCAAACCACATTAAATATTGTGCCTTTACGTGTATGATTTACTCTTGTGTACTCCTAAAACCAAAAAATACGTTTGTGTTTCTTAATTTTCTAACAATTTTGCAATTTGCATGACAAATTACGAAATTGATGGTCTTTTTGTGCTATATGGTAACAAATATCATCAAGTTGCTAAATGTCACATCATATAACGGTCATTTTCCCTTAAATATATTTACACATCTCCGCAAAAAAATGGAAAAAATTATTAATTTGTTTATACTTGATTCAGTGGTTACATTTCTCCAGAGTATGCAATGCATGGGCGTTTCTCTACAAAGTCAGATGTATTTAGTTTCGGTGTTTTAGTGTTGGAAATAGTGAGTGGAAGGAAAAACCAAGGATTTTCTCACAAAGATCATAGCGACAACCTTCTTGGACACGTAAGTGAATTTTGTATTTCCTTAAATTGTTGAGTAATTATTTTTTTCATACTCAAAACTAAATGAGTTCTGATTTGATTCAGACATGGAGACTCTTCAAAGAAAACAAGTCCATTGAACTCATGAATGCATCTTTAAGGGATTCATGTGTTATGTCGGAAGTATTGCGATCAATACATGTAGGGTTATTGTGTGTGCAACATAATGTAGAAGATAGGCCAACCATGTTGTCAGTGGTTTTGATGTTGATTAGTGAGGGAGTGTTGCCTCAACCTAAACAACCTGCTTTTTTTACTGGAGAGAGCTACCCTGAACACTATGGTAAATCATCAGATGAATACATGATAACACTACCATATGCTCGATAGGATAAGCAGAATTTGTATGTCATATGTATATATACATTAAACTTTGTAGCTTGATTGGTTTGAATCCTTGTGTAGACTTGACAGACTTTGTTATTAATTGTATAATGTTTAAATATGCTTGCTTCATTTTCCCTTTCAGACTGGTTTAAGAAAAAAACATTGAGCAAAAATATTTCATCGAATTTTTTATCTCATTGTTTGGGCACTTCCTTTTCAAGAACACTGTGGACGAGAGCACTCTAAAACTAGATAAGATCGTGGTAGTAATTATCATATATTGTATTTCCTATAGTATAGGTGGTTGTTATTGTTTCCTTTCCTTGCATGTTGTATCCCTATATATGTATACCTTCAGTAACCTTAATGAAAGAGATGAAGCCTTCATACGAATCCTTTTGCTTACATGGTATCAGAGCATACCAATCATATTTTCTCTCAAATCTAAATCACCCCTTGAATCACAATGAAAGAAAAAGATTCCTCGGTTCCTCAAGAACCCCGTTTCGTTATCTAGGATCCTCCCTTTCCAAATGGGATTATCCTAGATGATACCAATTATTAGTCGTGGTCTCAACTAATGGAGATGAGGATTGGAGCATGAAATAAACTGGGATTTCGAACAGGAACCTCCAAGAAACCAGAATTTGGCGAAAAACAAATCGAAACCTGGCTCAAGGATAACAATCAGGTTAAGAGTTGGCTCATAGATTCGATGAGCCCAACCTTGATCCCCAGATTCATCCGATTGAAGACGGCGAAAGAAATATGGGACACGGTGGCTAAAACATTCTATGATGGGACAGATGAGATGCAACTATCAATTGAACCGAAGGTCATTCAGTACAAGGCAAAACGGATGACCACTCGCAACATACTACAACAAACTGCTAGGGATCTTCCAGGAAATAGATACTTGGCTAATTGTTCACGAAGATGATGTAAGTCATGTGGTTTCACTGAATAAAATATTGGGGCGTCTCAGGGTACATATTTTTCTTTCCAAGCTAGATGCGGAATTCAATCAGGCATGTGGAGAAATCCTAAGGAAAGGTCCACCCTTAGATCTTGAGGCATGCTATACGTTTGTGCGGAAAGATCAGTCTCAGCGGACAACCTTGTTCATCTCACAACTCAGAACCGACCTTTAAAAGAACAAAACTCAAATGGAAAGAAAAATACATTTGTTTGTACTCATTGCAAAGAAGAAGGACACTCAAAACAAAGGTGTTACGAAATAGTAGGTTACCCTGAATGGTGGGATTTTTCAAAAGAACCTCGAAGGAAGGTGGGACAAACCACCATGGCTACAAAAAAAAAGATGAAGTTACCCCTATTGTGGATTATGCAGAGTCTAGTGACGATTACGGTATGTCAAATACAACTAAGTCTGTTATGAGTAATTGGATTATTGACACAGGGGTGACGGATCATATGACAAATGATCCATCTAAACTTGTGTTAAAAGTCAAACCAAAACAAAATATGGTGAAAAATACAAATGGGGGCATGGCTAAAGTAACTTGTGCAGGATCGATTAAGTTATCGAACACTAGGAATTTAGATATAGTCCTCGTGGTTCCATCTTTGTCATCAAAACTACTATTTATCAGTCAAATTATAGACCAACTTAAATGTTATGTAATTTTTTGGCCGAACAATTGTCTTTTTCAGAACATCGTGACGGATCGGATTCCTGGCTATGGTATTAGGAAGGTCAATGATGCGACATCGGCTCTGACCACCTGCTCTGAGGATGTGCTTCTACGTCGGAGGCGGGTCTATGAGGTCACAACAGACAAGGTCGTTAGGGCCGCCCCAGGGTCTGTGCTCCAGGAGCGGGCTCTGACGGTCAAGTTAGATCATATGGTAGATCTGAGATGGTTCTCTTTAGCTAAAGAGAACCATCTTGGTGCTGATGGTGGTGTATGGTGGTTGACGGTGGCGGGTGGCAGCTGATCCACCCAGCTGGAGTATAGGGTGGCGGCTGAGCCAAAGGGAAGATCTCCCTCTCCATAGAGGAGATACTTTTCACTTTATAGGGGACAAATTAGGTCAGTTCAAGCCCAGCTAGCAAGGAGCTGGGCGAGGCCGCCCAAAGGTGACGGACGAGGGTGGCGGGCGCGCACCAGGAAAGGCTGGCAAGGGAGCATCAGGTCGGGCCAGCAGGAGATGTAACGCCTGTAGATCAGGGCTAGTCAATTTAGAGACAATGAGTGTAAAACATGAATTTTTGATGGAATATTATTTAGAAGGAGTAATATTAAATAAGTTGTAGTATATGTCACAAGGTTTCCGTGCATATAAAGAATGCTGAAATCTGAGTTATAACGAAGAAGTTATGACTTGTCGAAGTTTCGCGACAAAACCGACATGACACAACGCGACGTAAATAGTGAATTTACGTTAGAGCGATATTTTTCCTTAGTAATCTAAATGAAAGTCATATAATACGTTAAACCTGACTTTGTATGAGGAAATTATGATTTTTCGAAGTTTCAGCATTAGCAGTGTACAACCCGAAGTTCGAATATGAGATCGAGCGATATTTAGCCGAAACAATCTAAATGAGAATTGAAGATATCATCTATAGTAGTGCAATGGCGGAAAGACAGACGAAAACGGACGTCAGACGAAGAAGTTATGAGTTTATAACTGAGTTTTCCTGTCCCAGCCTACTAAAATAATATAATAAAAATTAAAGTCAAAATTAGCCGATGAAGTCTAAATGAAAGTTGTAGATCTTGTTTTTACCTACGCGTGGAAAAAACATAACGTCAAAAACGGAGCTCGTATGTGAAATTTATGAATTTCTAAAGTTTGGGACGTGAACCCCAAGGCCTTGTCAGAGCTCACGAGGTGAACAGATGATGGACGTCTTCCAGGGAAAGTGACCATGACGGACGCAATGACGTATTGAGCTCACGAGGTGAGCATATGTAGCTCACGAGGTGAGCATATGTGGCTCACAAGGTGAACCTAGCATTTTTGCCCTACAAATAGAATTCAAGGGGCAGCCAAGTTTGGTTGCCCGTCTCTTACTCTCCCACTCCCGATATTCTATTAAGCCCTATTTTAACCCCCCGAAGCCCCGATACCATCCCGAGACCTAAAGCGAGTCCCGAAGCCCGAAGATCCCGAGAAGTGAAATTCCCGAGCCGAAGCTTTGCCTGCGAGAAGCCGGTTTTTGTGAAGATCTTCTAGATCTACCGAAGAATACTACTTTTACAAGTCGTATTGCTGTCCGAGAATCGTCTAATTAAGTGAGTGTATAGTCCTTTTTATAAACACGATTTTAATAAAAGTATTGTTTGAATGTATTAAGTATATGTTTGGTGTGAGTGTGTGGTTACTTTCTTCCAACACATAAATATGAAGTATTTACTATGGAATACGTGCTATGTGTTTATATATTGTTTGTTTATTTAAGGTGGATGTGAAATGAATGTTTTATATAGGTTCTAAATGAGTTAACCTGTATATGTATTTTGTAACTACAAATATGTTGGGTAGGACATGGGTAGATGAGATCCGTGAGTATGGATCAGATCAAGAGATTAGTTTAGATCTGTGAGTAGGGATCAGATCAAGAGGTTAGTTTTAGAACCGTGAGTATGGATTAGACCAAGAGGTTAGTTTTAGATCCGGGAGTATGGATCAAGAAAAGAGATAAAACTTGTTATTAGTCCGGGAGTATGGATTAAGACTAAGTTAATTGTCCCTAGTCTGGGAGTATAGATTGGACAGAGTTATTGATCCGGGAGTATGGATTAGATGAGGATTAAGGTATAGTTAATTGTCCCTATTCCGGGAGTATGGATTGGGTACAATTATTGATCCGGGAGTATGGATCAGATCAGGAGGTTAGTTTTAGATCCGTGAGTATGGATCAGGTAGTTTTAGATCTGTGAGTATGGATCAGGGGAAAAGGTTAGTTTTAGATCCGTGAGTATGGATCAGGTGAAAAGGTTAGTTTTAAATCCATGAGTATGGATCAGGTGAAGAGATTAGTTTTAGATCCGTGAGTAGGGATTAGGTAAAGAGGAAAATTTTAGATATGATAGTTAGATTGCGTCGTTGTGAGGATCGTTGGGGTAGTATAAAAGTTTTTTTTTATATGGTGAAATTATATAAGTTTGTGAGTTCTATATGTGTATATATATATATATATATATATATATATATATATATATATATATATATATATGATATAACATTGTGGGTTGAAAACCCTATATGCTCATCAGACTCCCAAGCCTGACCCACTCAGTTTTCTTTGTATTACTCGTTATGGCATGGGAGCATAAGTTGGCAGACATAACGAGAGATTTTGGATTATAGGCCAATAGTTATGAGTAATTGTTGTAAGGTCTATTTGTTCTGTTTATGCTTTTGGTTTGTATTGAACACGACATCCCGAGATTTTGTTATATAATGAAAATACATTTCTTTAACAAAATGCTTAGATAAATTATTATCATATTTTTGTTTTGCGAAAAAATTCCACAACAATTTTCTTTAAAATAATACTCTGATTTTAAAAACAAAGCATAAACAAATCGGTCTTTTCTGGCCGTGAAATTGGGGATGTGACAGGAGAGTCCTCAGCAAGCCTGGCAAGGGAGAGCCAGGCCAGGGAGCACCAGGTCGGGCTGGCGGGAGAGCCCCAACAAGGCTGGTAAGGGAGAGCTAGGCATGCCTGGCGGGAGTGCACCAGGTAAGGCTGTCACGCTAGAGCGTTCTAGGCCATGCTAATGGACCATATATCAACAAGTCCCCCCAGTCCGATGTTATTGTTATGCCGCCAATGACATTGGACTAGACTCAATCATATAAACCATGTGTCATGATGGAAAGGGAGCGCCAAGCTGGGCCAGCAAGAAAGTCCCCGACAGGGCTGGCGAGGGAGCGTCAGGACGGGCCAGCAGGAGAGTCCCTAACATGACTGGCAAGGGAGCGCCAGGCGAGCCTGGCGCACCAGTTCTGTGTAGGCCATGCTAATGGACCATATCTCAACAAGTCCCCCCCCCAGTCCTATGTGATTGGTATGCAGCCAATGACATTGGACTAGACTTAGTCATATGAATTGTGCCTCATCAAGTCCCCCTAGTCTGATGTGATTGAATTGCTAACAATCGGATCAGACTAGACAAAACACCAATGCATCAAGGAATAAAAAGAATGACCGAACCTTACCCACGGGAGCCGTGGGGTGGCGCAATGAGCCAAACATTGCTTATGCAGCTTGAGCTGACTTGATACTCCTTTCTTGAGAGGAGTGAAAGTCGACCAGTGCGATGCAACGTAACTGTTGTTGCGATCATGCGGACCGAGGCTACTAAGAGTGTTACGTGACACTGATGTCGATAAGGTGTCGGGCCAAGGTAGCTAAG